GGGAGGGGGGGGGGAAGGCGATCTTTCTGAGAAATTAGGGCATAAAAGACTGGTCAGAAATAATATTTGGGAAATTTCTGTTGGGTAACTTTAAGAAACCAATATAACCTATTTAATCATTATAAATGTAAATAAAGTCTATAACCCACTCCACCAACCACCCTACTCATTAAAAATCACATAAAGCACTCAAAAGTACATTGCTACTAACTTAATCAATAAATAGACAATATCAATGTGACTCACTGCAATTATCTGTCCTGGGATTTAGTTTATATCGTGCCATATGAAAAAGTATAATAATTAGACTGGGGGTGGGGATCAAATAGACCCTCCTGAGCGCTTCCCAATGGAGTTTCATAAGAGGTCAAAATCTAGGTTAAAAGCGTTAGTACTTATTTAGTTCATTTTTGCATATTTACCACATCTGTCCTCTCACTTAGGCTCAAATATTTATGCCCCACATATCTGACATAGTACCTTTTCTTCTATCCTTAAACATGGATAAATACTCCTTTATACGAATTTGGAATATCTGCTAAGTAGATGTTTTATGAAGGTTAGTGGTATTAATTATACTACCCCGGTAAAGTTTCAAGTTTTGTAGTTGAAATCTTTTTTTTGAAATCTAGTTCAAGAGCTTGGCTGAGCCCTTGGCGATATTGAGTGTTGAAAATTCCCTCGCCTAAATCAGATAAGAGTTAAAACAAAAATCTAAATCTCTCCCAACACACACCACCCACTTTTTCATCCAACAAGGTCAGAATGTGAGAGCAAGGAGAAGTACGACTAGCGGAAATACTCCAACACACTCACGTACATACGTCCATAAGTGTGCTTAAGATGGCAAGATTGTGCTTCAAGACAATGGATACACAACAATACCCCGGAAAGGGAGAAGGGAGAAAAGGTAGGTGGAAGTGATTTCAAGAGCGTGATAAGACTATTCATTGTGTGAGTTGTCATGGTGATGTGGGTCTGACTTAGAGGATAGATTGTGTAAGTGCCAGAAAGTTGTAACTCGCTACAATTTGAGAGCTGTTTTTTTTTGCAAGACCGTGTGTCAATAAGACTATCTGATTTCGTCTACCCTCACCACTCCTTTCATTACCTCAAATTTAGACATTTGCTTCTCCTTTCCCTTATGGGCGTCACCCACCACTAGTGTCCTCTATTCCATCTTAACAATCGTATCTCACAAAAAGGCTCCTATTTTACTTATTTTTGGTCAAATAATAAAGTACTTGCTTTATTCTCCCCCCCCCTCCCCCCCTCCCCCCACCCAATTCTCTATTTAACACTAATTAATGCAATTTGATAAAGAAAGAACAGGAAAACAATATCTATTTGGTAAGGAATGACTTAGTAGTGTAACTTCGTCCAAATCAATTCAGTAGATAACGCCCTATCAGTTTGTATGATATCTGACATTTCCGTAAAATTGAAATCTGCTTTAATGAATGAATCTCGAGTATATAAATATATGGAAATAGGCAATTTTGAATGAATTGCCAAATCGTTGGCACTTATATTTGAAAAGGTGTGTGCGATTGACTTACCTTCACGTAGTGCATTCTGGGCAATATATAATCATACGGCAAGGAAGTCTATAAATTGACTTCTGACTTCAAACTACCATAGCTCGATCATGTGCCATATTCGTTCACTTCCACAGTACTCACCTCACCTTTCCTTTTTCCCTACCTTTATATCTGTCCTTTTACATCTGTGAATCACTCTTCTGTTCCCCTCTTCACTTTTGGTGACTTTGTCTGTTCCTTCCCTTTGTGAAGTCCGAAGTCAAACTAAGGGTTAATGGTAACTATCATTTATTTGTATCAAATGTCAAGCGTTTTGATATTTATCATTAGCCCTTTAGTTGACTTCAGGCTTCACAGAGGGAAAGGAACATCAAAGTGAAAAAACGTCGAGAGGAGGGGGGGGGGGACAGAAGAGTGTTTCAAAGAAGTAAAAGAGACAGACACAAAGGTAGAAAAAAGGTGAGGTGAGTATTGTGGAAGTAATCGGGTATGACATACAGTGGTGTCTTTTTAGTTTGAAGTGAGAAGTCAACTGCCGGTTAATAGACATTTTTGCCTTACGAGTATACGTTGCCCAGGGTGTACCACGTAGAGGCAATTCTATTGCACACCCATGGTAACTATCATAAAGCCTGTCATTTGATATAATATTTGAAAAAAAGAGATTACCAACTTCCTGAAAATTGTACTCTTAGTTTAGTGCTACTTTACTCGGTTCCAATTTTGTCAACAATTAACGAAATTTTAAATCCAATCTTATTTGTTCCTATGCGGCATTCAAAATTTTATATAAACCCTTTAACGCCCTACAGGACAGTATATTCCTCTTTTAAAATAAGCTCCATTGGTACTAGACTCGTAACAGAAAGAGGAAAAGTGCGAAAAAATGTTTTGAACACAAAAAATTATTCTGGCGTTAGAGGGCCACATTCCAAAGATATGTCTCTCCACAAACTTAGAATAACCATTTTATTTTCAACTCTTCGTCTGGCAAAAGATATCATCATTCTCATGTATCTCCAGTTTACTCCCTTATAAATAAAGAATTTTTTCTCATAATTATTTGCATTGTTAGAGGGAAAATTCCCCTAAATAAAAGGTTGGTCTAATTTCCTCTTGAGTATAATTAATTGAGATCTCAGAAAGCTGACATCTGAAAGCAGAAGCACTGATTTAGTCGCATTTGTTAACTTTAAATTGAAGAAAAGTTAAGACTCTTTTCTAGATCGGAACAAGCAAATAAAAAGTTGGCGCAAATTCAAGAACAATTTTTGAAAAAAAATCTTTTAAAATTCGTTTTTCTATCTAAATGTGAAATAAATTGCATCAAGAATTCTGTATTAATCTTCTCCTAGTTCCAAAACTATTTTTCCAATGGAATTATCCTCCTACTCTTAATTCAGTTATTGTATTTAGTGCATTTGCGAAATACCATACTTGTAATAAGGGGGTATGCGATAGACTTACCTCCACGTGGTGCACCCTGGGCAACGTATCCTCATTCGGCAAAGAAGTTTATTAACTGGCAGTTGACTTCTCACTTCAAACTACCATCACCCCACTCTATGTCATAATCGACCATTTCCACAGTACTCACCTCACCTTTGTTCTACCTTTGTGTTCGTCTCTTACATCTTTGAAACACTCCTCTCTTCCCCCTCTCTACTTTTTTTCAATTTGATGTTCCTCCTCCCCTCTGTGAAGCCTGAAGGCAACTAAAGGGCTAATGATAACCATCAAGACGCCTGCCATTTGATATAAATAAATAAATACTTGTAATAAGACTGACTCCCCCCCCCCCCCCCCAACAGAGGTTCAAATAATTCTGTCTACCTTGCTTCCTAGACGTTCCCTTTACTTAAGTAAATCACCCCCCCCCCTCCTCCCCACCACTTACTCAAGTATGATTATTATCCTAACTGATGAAAACCTCAATATACTAAAACGGTCTCTACTACCTCAGTTTAGTTTTTCACATTGCGATTGCCTTATCGGCCAACAAGCCTTCGATGGCTTCAAATTTTAATCAAACTATCGCGACCAGAGATCTAAATCGTAACAGATGTTCGCATTAATTAAATTATCCACTTGATGACTAAGTCTTCTATTTTTCGAGCCCCAAACATGCAAGCGAATTCTCTTCTACATTTCGCATGTAAAAGCCTATTAAATCACTAAAAAAAGAAATGAAGCGATGAGTTAAGTAGTAAAACAATTCACTGAATGGAATTTAGACATTACTTTTAATTCAACCACGGGAACAGTAGTTGTAATTAGGCATTGGAACGACCATTTTACGCGCCAATTTAACTAAAAATCTACCTGTTAAACACTACACGCCAAATTCTTAAATAACGCATTGTTGCATTTCCACCTAAATTAATGAAAGCGAGAATTTCCATTTCTTATTTCCTATTTTAATTTCATTAAAATTTTAAAAGTAATTGCCGTCGACTTGAAGAATAAGGTAGCATGAATCGCTCTCATTTATTTCATTCTGCCCCTGTCCCAAGTAATATTATCGATAACATCATCAGGCGCAAACTTGGAGCCTCCAGTGAATCCTCACGTCTGGAGGATAAATGCGAGGAAGGAGGTGAGTTTGGGTTGTGGGGTGGGTGGGTGGTGCTGTATGTCAAATTTAATTCGATCTGGCATTCGTCCAGCCAGCCTCATAGCCTTGATGGCGATGCCGAGGAGGAGGAGGAGGAAGGTTGGCGACGAGATTCCGTTCTTCGGTAGAGAGCAGTCGAATGGCGCCAGTGTGTTGATGATAGCACCGCCGCCGACCACTCTCTCCCTCGCTGCTTCTATTGGCTAGCGCATCTAAGCGCGCGAATATAGACACACAAGCACGCAGGTAGATCGAGTCTAGCTGCAGAGGGGGGGGGGGGGAAAGATTAAANTGCAGAGGGGGGGGGGGGGAACAGTTATAGCACAGCATAGCAGGCGTGCGGAAATTTCAAGAGGGAAAGGAGAGGAGGGGCAGTAATGGATTGTGACAAAGTAGCCTCCCTTCCCTCACCTCGCCATGGCGCCAGTGACCATTGCTTATCCTAACTCCGATCACAACGCGGCGGCATTCGAAATGAAATTATCCATCTGGACTCCCCTTCCTCCTTCTCTGCCTCAAAAACCGGTCCTCTGCTTATCTGTGCCCAGAGAGAAAACTTGCCTCCCCCTACCCCCCCCCCCCACTTTCCTACTTCCCTACTCCATAGTCAATGGAAAATATTATATTTTAAACCCCTTAGAAAGTTCTGAAAGTGGATTCGCTCGATCACTCTCTCTCTCTCTCTCTCGAATATCATGCGGATTGGAAAGGAAGAGCACGTAGTATTCGCAGAGTTTATCTACTTCTAGATTGCCGTAATTAGAAGACTAATAAGTTTCTGTATCAGCGGCCCGAAATATATTGTGGCGCCAACTTATCAGAGCTGCAATCGCCGCTGCATTAGTTCGGTGTAAGTACTCTCACACACACATCGACTTCCCACTTTGTGATTGTCATTATATACATGACCACCACCACACACACAATAGACGTACTTATTCCCTTCCTCGCGTGCACATTACATGCATATACACATTGTTACCTTTCTCCCTAAAACAGTCCAATCTTAGTCCCCTCATATCAGCAGCCCAAAATCCAAGACCCTATCGGTATGTAATGGAAGACAGCTTAAATTTGATACAACAGATTCCGAGCATGTTTCATTATTAGTTTATCTTGATAGTTTAGCTGCCTTCACCCTCGCTTCACTTCAATGACCCTTGACATTATGTGATTTTTTTAAAAGTTCTGTACATTGCGATACGTCTTCTCATTTTCCTCCCCTACAAGATCAGATTTTTCTGAGAGAGAGATTATAAATAATGTTAGTGAGATTGGTTTTACAAAACTTATTTTACTCTTGTACATCAGTTGACGAAAAGGTCTTGACAGCAATCACATCCTTACGAATTGACGTTTTCGATATATCAAATGGCAGGCTTTATGATAGTTATCACAGAGGAAGAGGAACATCAGAGCGAAAAGTCGAGAGGGGGGGAACAGTAGAGTGTTTTAAAGGTGTAAAAGAGACAGACAAAAAGGTAGAGGAAAGGTAAGATGAGTACTGTGGAAGTGGTCGAATATGACATACAGTGGGGTCATGATGGCTTGAACTCAGAAGTCAACTACGTTTTATAGACTTTTTTTGCCTATAGGTAACGTTGCCCAGGGAGCACCACGTGGAGGTAAGTTTATCGGTTTTCGATATAATTCTCGCAAGCGTTTCGAATGCTCTGAGGGCGCAATTTTTACTGAAAGTAAGGCAAATTCGAACTTGCTATTGCTCTTATCCTACGAAATTAATTTATTCAGTTATTGCCACTAAATACCATAGATACTAGGGTCTCCTCTCATTAAGCAAATTCGTTTGCAAATAGAATTGAAAATTTCATTGCATGGTGGAAACTTGACTCGGTGATAAGATATCCTCTTCACCTTCGACCAATTATTTTTTTCATCTCTGATCATATTTCTTTTACACTAATTTTAACATTTATTTGGATGGGGTGTGCGATAAACTTACCTCCACGTGGTGTACCCTGGGCAACGTATACTCATACGGCTAAAAAGTCTATTAACCGGCAGTTGACTTCTCACTTCAAACTACCATCATCCCACTGTATGTCATATTCGACTACTTCCACATTGCTCACCTCACCTTTTTCTGCCTTTGTGTCTGCCTCTTTTACATCTTTGGAGCGTTCTTCTGTTCCCCCCTCTCGACTTTTTGCCACTTTGATGTTCCTTCCCCTCCGTGAATCCTGAAGTCAGCTAAAGGGCTAATGATAACNGTTATCATTAGCCCTTTAGCTGACTTCAGGATTCACAGAGGTGGAGGAACATCAAAATGAGAAAAGGTCGAGAGGGGGGACAGAAGGGTGATTCTCAGATGTAAAAGAGACAGACGTGAATATAGAGTAAAGGTAAACTGAGTACCGTGGAGTGGTGGAATATGACATGTAGTGGAGTCATGGTAGTTTGAAGTCAGAAGTCAACTGCCAGTTAATAGACTGTTTTGAAGTATGAGTATACGTTGCCCAGAGTGAACCACGTGGAGGTAAGTCTATCACGCTCTCCACTTTAGGTAGAATATAAGTAATATAAAACTTGAAATGTTGAACAGTAGGAAATAGGTGTCATGAAGAATGAGTTAATGGGGCTAATAAAAGAAGGCTAAATTGCATTATTTTAAGTGTTCCAATGAGGAACGAATGATAATCACGCGGATTTTACAGATCAGTAACTCACTATATTGAAAAGATGAACAATAAAAGCATGAAAACTTGTTCCCCTTGAAGCATTTATCTATATGGGCTTTTCGAAAATTTAGGCGAATGAAAAAGCTTTTGATTTATGTCTAGAATTGTAATCAATCGGTGGGTAAAAATCCCTGAAGTTATTTCTACAGCCAAACCTGGCAATTGGTCATTTATTCATCATCGTAAAACACCCGTAAAGATGAACGGTGATTGAATAGAAGTAAAAAATTAAAGCTGTTTTATCAAAGTAATTTTAAAATTCAATCTTGGTAATCCCATTGTATGATGTGAGCCATGTTTTTAAAGAAAGTGGTAAAACTTCAAGGTTTTGAAAACAAGAATTAAATATTTCTAGAAACTGACTACAAAGTGATGTCAGAAATGCTAGTATGCTGTCAAAAGAAGGCGTTTCTGTCTCGAGCTGTTGGTGACATGCAAAGTTCCTGAATTACTGACACCTAGTGAAACTGTCTCAGAATTTGTTGTGTGATTAACTTTTTAGTACATTAAAGTATTAACCAAAATGGGAATTGAATCCGGTAAGTTAGACCCAAGTAAATAAGTCCTAGTAATGCGTTTTCCTTATTTTTGTGTGTTAATATGTTCAACGTATACTCATACGGCAAAAAAGTCTACTATTCGGCAGTTGACTTCTGACCTCAAACTACCATGACCCCACTGTATGTCATATTCGACCCCTTCCACACTACTCATCTAGCCTTTTCTCTGCCTTTGTGTTTGTCTTTCTCTTTTAAATCTGTGAATCGCTCTTCTTTTCCCCTGTCGAATTTTTCTCACTTTAATATTCTTCCCTTCTGTGAAGCCCAAAGTCAACTAAAGGGCTTATGATAACTATCAAAACGCCTGCCATTTGAAATAAATAAATAAATAAATGTTCAAATGACAATTTATTTTCACTTACGAGTGTTTACTAAACATTTCTACTAGCGTTTATATAANAAATTCGAACTTGCTATTGCTCTTATCCTACGAAATTAATTTATTCAGTTATTGCCACTAAATACCATAGATACTAGGGTCTCCTCTCATTAAGCAAATTCGTTTGCAAATAGAATTGAAAATTTCATTGCATGGTGGAAACTTGACTCGGTGATAAGATATCCTCTTCACCTTCGACCAATTATTTTTTTCATCTCTGATCATATTTCTTTTACACTAATTTTAACATTTATTTGGATGGGGTGTGCGATAAACTTACCTCCACGTGGTGTACCCTGGGCAACGTATACTCATACGGCTAAAAAGTCTATTAACCGGCAGTTGACTTCTCACTTCAAACTACCATCATCCCACTGTATGTCATATTCGACTACTTCCACATTGCTCACCTCACCTTTTTCTGCCTTTGTGTCTGCCTCTTTTACATCTTTGGAGCGTTCTTCTGTTCCCCCCTCTCGACTTTTTGCCACTTTGATGTTCCTTCCCCTCCGTGAATCCTGAAGTCAGCTAAAGGGCTAATGATAACCATCAAAACGCCTGTCATTTGATATAAATAAATATTGATTTAAACAAGAACATAACAGTCCATTTCCTTAGTATGATTGTTGGTAATTTTTAACTTTGCTTAATTGTATCAATATCGATAGACGGGGAATTCAAATTTAAATTATCCCATATTTTGATAGTAAATAGAAGAGATTGATGGAAGGCGCTTTTAATGCTTCTTCTTAACGTAGCTTACTACTGTAGGGAGCACAGGAAAATCTTTGGCTTCCCAACAAATAGTAAATTTTCCAAAGTCCAAAGTGGGCATGAAATTGTACCCCCCCCCCAGTCATAGAAAAGGTTAAAAGCAATGAGTTCCAAGCGCACTGAAAGTCTAGCCAGTACCACTTGTTTCCAGGTAATCAGTCGCCATATCCCGTGTGCTCGATCCCCCCCCCACAGGCAAATCTGATATCCCACCTAGAGAGGAAGAAGGAAGGATGTTTTGCTTCTGTTATCCTAGAACTCCTAAAGCATTAACCAAGATCTAATATCAACAATGTATTAGCCAGTATAAACAACCATGGAAATTGATTCAAAAGTGATTGCCCAAAATGCAGACGAGGTTAAACAAATGATTGCGCTAATCCCCCCCCCTTCTCACCGGGCTCCCCCCCCCCCTATGTGCCCTCAAGCTAAAGTGCCATGTTCTCACAATGATCTCAGTCTTGATGGACCTCTCTAAGGTACTTCTTTCCCTGCTGGATTTATATACAAATTGGCCTGGGGCGCTGCACACATTTAATCTCCTACAAAATGTGTCACCATTGATTGCCACCTTACCCTTATTCACCAACCAGTTCATAACAAGAGTTATTGAATCCAGTTCTGTCCTACTCGATTTCTTGACCTTTGTTATTGTCCAAAATTATCCCTTCCCACGCTCTGTAAATCTCAATTGTTGAAATGGGAACCAAGACAACTTCTCGTGCCACAAGGGTGGAAGGCAGTGTTAGGAGGCTTGATCCATTACGCATTCGGTAACGGACAATTTATCGTATTTTTGATCTGATTTGGGTACGGTTTGGCAAACATCTGCGTTCTCAGAAAGCAATCACATCTTTTGACCGGGCGCTTCAATAGGCTTTGAATAGATACAATGGGGATCTAACACTCCAACATATG